AATTCAAAAGGACCCATTTAGTTGAAATTGTGGTCCCTCACAAATTCAAAAAAGACTCATATTAGTCCTCAAAAGGACTAAAATGGGTCCAATTTAAATTTTTTAGGGACCACGATGGTCCTTTTTATTTGCTAGGGACTAAAACGGGCCTCGTGAAATTTTTTGAGGACCAAAAAGGGTATTTACTCTTGAAAAGAAAAAGATTTTTCACAATTTTTTATTTAAGCGCAGCTTAATACGATAGTATGATAGCATTACCGGTATACACGGGGTGTTACACTTACCAGCTTTCCTTACCTCCACATCTGTCAAATCTGCATAATGTGTTTCACATCAGTCAACTTCGAAAATACGTGTCAGATGCATCCCACATTGTACAACCGGACAATATCGAAGTAAGAAAAGACTTGAAGTTTGTTGTAGGACCGTTGAAGGTTCTAGCACGTGAAGAAAAAGTGTTAAGAAACAAGACTATTCGCATGATCAAGGTACAATGGGAAGGATTGACCCCTGAGGACGCAACTTGGGAGCGGGAGAGTGAAATTCTCCAGCGGTACCCTGAGTTTGACGTCAGGTATATGTTATATTTGATATTTGATTTTGTGGGCAAAATCCTTAAAATGTAGGGTGAATATAATGACCCCAAATGGTAAATCATAATTAGAGGTTTAATTTAAGGATTTAAATACCATAATTAGATTGAGTGAGTGATTCCGAGTATTTTGGCTGTAATCATGACTATGTTATGAACAGTGTGTTCTGTCGGAGAATTCGCAGTCTTGTGAATTAACCGGTAGAGCATAAATAAGCAAAATAATTTTAGAGACATAATTTGACAATTCTGACGACAAATATGAGTTCAGAATGAAAAATTGTATAGTTTGGCACTTTCCGTGAAAATCTCGTGAATAATGTTTCTACCGGGTATTTGTACCGCTGTTTAAGCAACCGGTAGAGTCCAGAAATAAATAATAATTGATGAAATAAGAATAAGAAATTCCAATATATGCCAAACAAGTCAATATAGGCTCAAGGAAATGACAAGTGTATAAGTTTTAAGTTTCAAAAATAAATAAAGTACAGTTAGTGGTTCACAGTGCATTTTGTCAAAAACGGTGTAGAAACCATATTGTGAATTATGAATATTGTTCCTTAGGAAATAAAAATTAATGTAAATGACTCTAGAAAAATAAAAATATATTTGTAGCTTTAAGTTAAGTTCCGGGTCATTTTGAGTAAAATACGCGATAGAAAAATAACCGGATTAAAAAGGGCTACATGTGCTCACCTTCTTAAGTCACTTAAGTCTCATTTCCAAATCAGTTTCTCTCTCCTCTCCTCACTCTCAAAACCGAGCTGCAGCCATGGGGGAAGGGTTAGGGTTTGTCTTTTTCTTTCTTTGATTTCTCCATGGTTAAGCCACCAAATCTTCCACCCAATATACCAATCTCATAGGAAATCATCCAAGGAAGCTATTCCACCCCTCCGTTTGAGCTGATTTCGTGTGTGGAGAGAGATACTTGTCATCTCATTTTCGTGACACTATTCATCAAGGAAGAAAAAGTGCATTTTTGAAGGAGCCTTGCTTGGAGATGTGTCTTCTAGGCTTTGGTAGTTGATTAGAGGTAACAAACCTCTATTTTCATGGTAGTGTCTTGATTATTTAAGTTATAAAATTATGAATATGCTTTGGTGGGAAAGCATTATGTTTTAAAAAAATTGATTTGATGATGAATCCTTGATATTTTGGATGTAGGAAATAAAAATGAGCATTGTATGTATGTAAAAAAAATTAGAGAAAAATCATATGCCTTTCATCTCTATGTTTCGGCCTTTGATAGGGTTAATAGGATTTATTGTGCAAATTTTAGTTGATGTATTAAGAGGGGTTTTATGTGTGCAAGTAAGTGGAATTTGGATGAGTTAGTAAGAATGTTAAATTTGAAAGAAAATCCTTTGAAACATACCCTTGATGTTTCGGCCTTGAAGGATTTAAAGGGCTTGAGATTCCCAAAAATTAAATTGGAACTTGGTATATATATATATATATATTTATGTACGTGTAGTTGTTAAATTAAGTGAGGAAAATGTATTGTAAAAGAGAAGGATCCTTGGAAATTCCTTTAAAGGATTTGACCTATAGGGTGTTTAGGGAAATATGTTGTCATATTTTATTTTAATAAAATATGTGTATTTCAAAGTATGAAAATGGTAAGTCATGAAGTGAAATGGTTTGAAAAGAAATCATGGAAAAATCTATTGATTTCCTAATTGTAGGCCCACAGTCCTTTAAAGTAAAATGCCATGATTTATGTTTGAAATTCTTAAGGGAATACTTGATTAAATTAAAGAACACCAACGATTATATGCCTTATGTATTGGCATAGCATTGGCAAAAACGTAAAGAAACGAAAAGAAGCGATAAAATGTATGCCTTATGTGAAAGCTAGGCATGATGGCAGTTTATTAATTTGTATTTATGGATTCTTGCTCTAGGTGTACCTAGAGACTAAAAAGGAATCGGAATCTCTTGAAGATATATAAGTAACTTGAGCCACAAGTAAGCAGATTGTTAAAGCTTCAAGAGGTAAGCTCTATGTTTAAGGAGTCTTTTCCTACTTGAGTGCTCCACCATGGTAGTGAACTGTGGTTGGATTGTATGAATGCTTTTTATGCTTTGTATAGATGCATTCATATAGAGTTATTTGATGATATGATATGTTTTGTTCTGATATGACTTCGGTAATATGATTTCTGTAATAATCTCTGGCCATTGATTGTATAGTACCCTAATGTCCGCTTTGGGGTCCTCCCTCGGGACTAATGGTGTACGCCTCTGATATGTCTGGTTCCGCTTTGGGGTCCTCCCTCGGGAACACGTGCATTGATTTCCGCTTGGGGTCCTCCCTTGGGAATGACGACGCACGCCTCTGTTATGATATGAATATATGCTTTGTTCTGTTATAATATCTGTTATATGTGCATTGTATACTATGTATCTAACTTTCATGCAAGAGTGAGCCATCAGTATGGAGAATTCGCTATAAACCTGGAGCTTAATGAGATTTGTAATCTCACCCCTCGTTGGGGCCATATTTTTAGGTGCCCAGATTCCCGGTGAGACCTCTCTAGTCAGGGACGCGACCCGTGGCTGAGAATTTTGGACGGATTGGATTTTGAGTAGCTGCAGGCTACTTCTATTTTGGAGTATAGTGCTTTCATTTAGTATTTCAGTATTTTGTGGATCATGATGTTAGATCCTTTATTTTGTATATGGCCTGTATATGTTTTGTACATGTCTGTCAGTTTGATGTATGTACATTTGAGTATTCAGGCACGTTATATGATGATGTAGTATTCAGATATGTTTACGTGTTGGATTGTATGCTGTTAGATATAGTGGCACGAAGCCATGTTATGCATGCGCCCATGGATGGGTATGTGATTATATTTGGATGCCTGGTATTTCTGAATTGATATGTTGTATAAACTATTTATCAAGAAATGCTTCTGAGTGGGATTGAAAAATCTCCAGTTGTCCGATTTATAGAGGAAACTCTGCCCGATTTTCGTTTACGCCAAGTAAGAATTAAAGTAGAAAAAGAAAAAGTTAGCTCGCATTTTTGTAAGTTAAGTCTTCCGCTGTTTCAGTTTATATCATGTGTATGTTAATTGAACCGGCTCGAGACAGGGATGTTACTACCCGCGACCTAGAGATGTATAAATCTCTCAATATAATGACTCCCAACTAAAACTAAGCTATGGGTTTTGTAAATGATGAAATTTGACACACTTTAGGCTTTGGAATGGATTGATTTCATCAATCCTAGCTCAAGTTATCAAGGATTGAAGTTCTCTCAAGCTTTTCTTTTCTTTTTTCCTTCCCTCTTTACTCTTTGTATCGTCGCGTGGAGAAGAAAAAGAAGAACACGAGGCTTTTAGTCCAATTTCACTTACATAAGTTAAGTGAAATTTAACTGGGTAAGAGCTTATCTATCTAATTATATCTATTCTTTACCAAACTTTACTCCATGGACTAGAATATTTTTCTAGTCATGTTTCTATTTTTACTTTTACCTTTTGAGTAATTTTGCGTACTCACATTTTTACCCCTTATATCATTTTAACTCATTTTTCACCAAATGTGACTTTATTTCTTTTTCTTCTACTTTTCTTATAATTATTCTTCAATATTATAATTAAAATTATTAATTCATAATTAAATTCACATTACATGTGAGGGTTATTATAAGTTCCAATAAAAACCTAATCAATATGTAAAATTGATGCAATAGCTTTGGTAATTCACATTGGAAAATTTTTGTCTTTACGCAACATTTGTCAAGTTTTCAAAACATTTAAATAATAAGGTATAAAGCATTATCCTCGTCAAATTTTTATGGAAAAAACGTGTATCATTTTAAAGGATATAAAGTTATGTCATTTTAAGTGAGAAAAAGAGATAGATAATGGAGGAAAGAGAGTAAACAAAAAAATATAAATGTGTGGGTTCCACTTCTTTGTAAGAGTGAATGGATATAAGTTGTGTCATTTAGAAAGACAAACACTTTTCTCAATTTTATTGGACTTTTATGCCACTTCATGATTTCTACCTGGTCAACTTTCCAAATTTTATGACCATTTAAAGCATTATCCTTTACGCCACATGGTAGTCGGATATGTTTCCTAAGTTGATGGTCATTTAAATAAGCATTTATATTTTTTATGTTGTCACCGTCTGTTGGTTTTTCACTCCCACACAAATATATATATATATATATATACAGGAAAATATTATAATTATTTTTTTTTGAAAGAATATTATAATTATTTTATGAAAATCAAAGAAGATATTTCCACCTAGTTTCGTGGATGTTACGCAGCAATTTCCGGTTTAGTTGATTTATAGATGAGAGTACGTGAGCCGGTGCACTAAATACACTTATCCCGCTTCATTCCGAAGATTAATAGCTTTAACCATGAACCCAACGATTAATGAGAGGTTGAAAGACGTTTCTCAACGGGGAGACGTACACGATCTCTACACGCTAATTCAAGAGAATCCACGCGTTTTGGAGGACATTGATGCGATACCATTCGTTGAAACTCCTTTGCATGCTGCTGCCTCTGCTGGGCTTCTCTCATTTGCTACCGAGATTATGAGACTAAAACCGTCGTTTGCCTGGAAGCTGAATGAGCAAGGATTCAGCCCTATCCACCTTGCTTTACAACAAGGACAAAGGAGAATGGTGGTTCGTTTTGTGCAAATCAATAAAGACCTTGTCCGAGTCAAAGGGAGGGAAGGCATAACTCCTCTGCATTTTGCAAGTCAAAGCGGAAATGTTGACCATTTAGTTTACTTCCTAGGTGCTTGCCCGGATTCAATTGAAGATGTAACTGTGAGAAGTGAGACTGCACTGCATATTGCTGTGACAAATGGACAGTACAGGGCTCTTCAAGTCTTGGTTGGCTGGCTCGAGAAATCAATCCTGACAGATGCCATGGAGTTAGAAATAAGAATATTGAACTGGAAGGATGAGGAAGGCAACACCATTTTGCACATTTCAGCAGGCTTAGGTGACCCACAGGTATCCTTCTATCTATATTTTGAACTTACTTTCGATTCATAACAAACAACCCATGGAAAAACTGCCGGGTACACCGATTATAGTGAAGATTTTATGTTGGGATATTGGTTAATAATGGACTAAAGAAAGACTATACAAGTGGGAGGATCCATAAATCTGATATCATAAGATTTTGAGTTGACAGATATCAGATTCACTTGTTATACTTAAGCTAACTTGGTCCTTTAGTGGTGGATGTGGACCGTGGTCTCCCTCCATAGGCTCCTCCAAGGGCCACCTGATATTTTAGATGGCTAAAACGAACTAACATTTTTTTTTTTTTTTTTTTTTCCAATAGGAACATTAATCTCTAACACTAAGAGGTTTTATATTTAAATTTAATCTGTAACAATTACATTGTTCATCAATTGGATTCCTTGGTAGCACAGCCGCTTCAATTGTTGGTAAAGACTATGAGGAATTATTTGAACGCCAAGAATTTGGAAAACTCAACAGCATTAGACATAGCAGCTGCCAATAATGCAGAGATGGAAAGAATATTAGTGAGTGGTGGAGCAAGACGGGGTTCATCAGTTGCTAACGCTCCCTCTCTTGCAGATACAATAATATCAAAGGTCCCAATTATTGATAAAATAATCATTTATGTACTTCGAACAATGAATATAACAGAGGACCAACGCAATGCTTTACTGGTAGTTGCTGCTCTTGTTGCAACCGCAACTTATCAATTTGCACTGAGCCCCCCAGGTGGAGTTTATCAGGCAAACGCTGGGGATAATAATGTGAACACTACTTCTCTCAATTCCAAAGCTACTGCTACCGGAGGAAACGCCGGGACATCGGTCATGTCTAATTTTGATTTCTTATACATATTCATTTTGAATACGCTTTCCTTTTCACTAGCAATCGTGACAATCTTTCTTATGATTCCAAGCGGGATTTGGGCTGCTATAGTGTCCTTACCACTGGCTTTCCTTGCCTCGGCCTATCTCTCTAATGCGCAGGTGATATCCCCTACCTCTGCTACATCATATGCCATTTACATTACTGTAATCTTATTCGTCGGGTTGTGGACGATGCTGCCATTGAAATTTTCAAGAGTGTACCGCAGACTTCGAGGGATATTCCAAACAGGGAATAGTAGAGGAGGAAATATATGGTAGTTAAAGTATTTCTGCTAATTTGCCACTTTGTTCAGTTGATCATTAGGGTGCCACACTCTGAATAGGGAACACCAATCAAGGTCTTGGGACAGCAGATATAAGGTACTCAAGTCAATTGGTCAAACCATATAAGTATTGTTTTTATATCCGTAATTTGATTTGTAATTTGTGCTCTTTCAAATTATTTCAGTTTATGAATGAATCAACATTTTAACTTTGTAATATTTTGAAACTTGCGTGCACAATTGCTCAAAAAAGAAATTTCAAAAATTGATACTGGCTTTGGTGCATATTTAGCACAATCAAGGTCAATGTAAGAACTATTGAGATAGTTGGACAATTTCAAAAGAAACCTATGTTTTATTCAATAAGGTATAACATATCATAAATGCCATAATTATACAAAAGCTACTTAATAATGCCATGCCCTTCAGACAATACTACTTTATTTTTGGTGTCTAAAAAGCTTTTGCTTGTGGTAATAAGTAATCGATAAACCTATGTTCATATGTTAAATTGTAATCTTAATGCTTACATCAATTTATAGGTATCAGTATCACGAACTCCATTGAAACGAATAAAATAAGTTGCTTGTTGTAACGCCTCGCAACTTGCAAGAATCAATGACTGTCTCCACACACTAATACGAGATTTTTCAGCGTGCTTTGTCCTCACTCGGACACTTTTCGGAAAAACTTCCGAAGAGGTCACCCATCCACGAATTGCCCCAAGTCAAGCACGTTTAACTATAGAGTTCTTCTGTTTCGGACTACCGAAAAGTAGATGCATCTTGTTAGTATAGGTAGTACCAATTAATTCTTATAAGTTATTCTCAACTTGTAACATCCCCAAATTTTTAATAATTTTAACAACAATAAAATATTCTTATAATAGAGAAATTTTCAAAAATAAAATAAAATAAAAATAATATTTAATTATTTATTAAGATCTTATATTTATTGCGAAAGCTAATCTAAAATTAATTTGGGGAAATGTTACCGCCGCACCTATACAAGGACAAGTGCAAGGCTCTTTATTACATTCATAAATATTACAATAAAATAAGAGATACGTCTTATACATAAAATTTAGGATTAGCAAAATTATCTGAGTAGTTATCCTCACTGCCCACTGCTAGCCGAATCCTTTGTATCTTGATTCACTGAAACTCTGCTCCCCCGCAGCCCCGCAGGATCATTGCAGTCAAACAAACACAAAAATCAGCAAAGCTGGTAATCCCAATCAAAATACAACTAATGTAATTAATAACAAATTAAATCAAATATCAAATAGTGATCAAATCAATTCCACATTAATCAAATCAAATATCAATATAATTGTAATATCTCGTTCTAGAACCGGTTTGTTAACATTACGTACGGCATCAAGCGCAGTTACAATCACAAGATTGAATTAAACACGGATAAACTTTTTCCTTTTTATTTATAAACATTTTTTTTTTAGTTTAAAATTCATTCCGTAATTAAAACAATCCTCGTAACGCGATTATAACTTAAATTATAAGTAGACTTCCTATTGTAAGTCTTATTTAAACCACCAAAGCTTAAAACTCACTTTTATCGTTCTTAAACACTAATCATAAATAATCTTTATTTATTTAAGAAATTCCTATACTACTTTTATGGTCTCCATCATCTTCTATGTTATATAATTCTTCATTAGCTACGCGTGGGTTCAAACCGCGATCAAATCAGAGCACCGTAGCCCAAGTTATGAGATTTCTAAGAAAATGGATGCTGAAATTCCCAGGACCCCACGCTCATAGCGTGAGTCCCACGCTAATAGCATGAAAATGCCCCAGGAGGCAAAGAGGTTGACGCTCATAGCGTGAGTCTCACGCTCATAGCGTGAAACCTACGGCCTCCCCCTGATAGTTGGCGCTCATAGCGTGAACTTGACGCTAAGAGCGCCGCAGTTCTGGAGCAAGCACCAAAACTGGGCAATTTGACCTCCCTTTGATATTTCATCCATAACTTTAGTTATACTACTCATATTTATGCAATCTTGGTCTCGTTGGAAAGCTAAGGAAAGGATCTACAACTTCTATTAAGACACAAGGGTCCAAATATATCATATATGATATGAAAAATGGACAACAAGACAGGATATTTTTACTTTTACTTGAATTTTCAACCTAAAGGTCTTCTTTCACCTAATTGACATCATATAATCCTTTCAATACATGAATTCTAGTTCTTGCAAGGTACATATACATCACAAGAAACATGCATACCCTCTCATCATATATATATATATATACCCAACAATTACAACATTACATCCTTGCAACATGTCTTAATTACAAATCATGGGACTTAGCTACAAAACACTATGATCAATCCCTTGGCTCCTATCAACAAAAGAGATACCAAAGGAAATGAGCATAGGCTAAGTCCATCCAAATATAACATGACATACATATAGCAATTAGCTTTCAAATGTAAATCCTATACATGGTACTACTACATGTCATGTATAATCCAAAAGAATGCAACATCTTCATGCATCTACTAATCCAAATATAGCCACTTGCTACCAGAGGCTCCTGCAGCATCTTTACCTGAAAGGGGGTCCCCACAACACGGGGTGAGATATACGAATATATCACAGTAAACCAGGGGTCCTTGGAGCATCTCTCCACCCCATAGTTCAATCACAGTGTAATAGCAATAACAATAAGCAATGCAGTAAATACATATACATGCAGTGTGTAAACAAACATCTCCAGGAGAAATTCCTCGAGCTCTCAACATAGGCCAACTAAACTACCAAGTATGAATTACGCATCGTCATGCAACATACCAACATAGGGAAACACCATCCTATGCCACACCAAATGCATACGCATACGTATAACAAAGCATTAAACTACCTTATCGCATTTACATACACTATCAATAACCATTACCCCTTTCGGGCTTGGTGGAACAAATAAAGGATCAACACCCAAGCTCCGAAGGCTTATCTCAAAGCTCCAGTTCAACCTTTGTTCCCCCAACAAGTTTTGCAACCAATCAACTTTGGATTCAAGCTACACTTGCAAAATACACACCTACACCAAGGTGTCAGATAATCAATCAATACAATTTAATGAATATCCATGTATTCATCAACAACACAACAACTCCACACCACAATTTGGCATGGACTTACCTCTCCAATTGGGCTAATCAAGCTCCATAGCTTGCTCCAATGGTTGGTCCCTCAAGGGTGATCCAATTTCCTCAATCCTAATCATCACATGGATACAATCAATAATCAACCAAACCAAACCATTGATTACTAATGTAAGAAAATCCACAATCAAGTATATAATCTTGCAATTTCCAAAGTATAATCAATTGACTATCTAAACTCATTTTCACCAATTAAATTTCATTCCTAGCATTTTTCACAACATACATTAAGCCTCATTCCTCCTTGAACATAGCCAATCTACTCACATTATCATAAAACCCTAAAAACACTATTCATCATCTTCCTCAACATACAATCTCCATGAAAATAGAGTTCAAGGAGTAAAATCTTACCACTAATGGTTGCATAATCAAGGAGTGATGGTTCCTCAAGCTTCCAAGAAGTGAAATGCTCCCAAACCCCTTCCACCTTCAAAGGGGGCAAATTTTTTAGAGAAAAAATCTCACACCACAAAGCTCCCCACAACAAACCAAGCTTGGATTAAGGATGAGAGGAAGATTCTAAGTGGTTTAGGCTTTTGAATCACTCTAATAGGTGGAGAATCCAAGGATCTAGGGTTTGGCTCCTTTTTTCTCTTCTCTTCCTCTCCTTTTCTTCTTCTTGCTCGACGGGTGTGGGGGGGAATGAAGTGGGTTCTCTTATTTTCTAGTCACTTAACATAAGTTAAGTGAAATCAAGCGGGTATTAGCTCATCTATCTATTCAACTCCATTCACTACCAAACCTTACCCAAAGGTCTGGAATATTTTTCTAGGAATATTTTCACTTCCATTTTTATTTTGAGTACTTTTGCCTACACCCATTTATATTCCTTAATTTTCACTGAGTGCACTTTTTACCTCAAAAGTGACCCTAATTAATTTAATTTGGTATTTTACTTATTTTACCCCACTAATACGTGCTTAATTACTTAATCACATGTAATTTACAATTTAGGGCTATTATAATAATAATCAAAATTCCATTATATAGTATTTATCCTTATTAAGTTCATGTAGTGTATTTAATAATTATCAACTAACATATTTAGCACAACATTAATCATAATATGATAATATTCACAACTCAATGACATTCATCATAATCAAATCAAATAACAAATTTCATTATTAATAATGTTTAAGTTCATTGTATTTAGTGGGAAGAAAACCATGGTAGACCCGGGAAATAACCCTGTTGTCAGTTTACCCCGTGACCCGGGAAATAAACACTGTTGCCAGCCACGTATAATCAAAATTGGCCATCATCAAAATATCAAATCCTAGTGTGCACACATTTTTCCAAAGCTGCTACTAGTACCCCGGGAAATAACCACGGTTGCCAGATACCACTTTGGGAAGAAAGAAAACATCATTGTCGCATCAAATAAATATCAAAGGCATAAAGCCCAAAAGTTGTGTTCTATGAAGCACCGACACTTCAAAAATCTTGATGTGTCGTGTATAACATTTTTCGACACTCTCGGACACTCCGACACTCCAACACGCGTTATAGAAATTCAAAAAAAGATTTAAAGGTTACGTTGTGTTGAGTTTTTAGTTCCAACTATTATATTCGTTGGATTACGATTACTATTTTATTGAGTTTAATATTAATATTTGGGATATATTATGTTTCTTTGCAAAATTTATGAATATTATAAGTTTAGATTTATTTTTTGTTAAATTATTGAATATTAAATATAATATACACTACATAAATTAAAAATATTATTTAATATCAAAACGTGTCCTAACGTGTCAAAATCTAACATTTTTTAGAATTAACGTGTCGGAGTGTCGTGTCGTATCGAATAACACCTCACAGTTCTAAATTAAGTATTAAAATATTAAATGAGTAATTAAGTGAAGGATTAGTGAAAATCTTAAAGATTAGGCCAAAATACAAAGTGGATAGACAAGTTTCAGAAAAATTAGTGAATAGTGTTTTTACCGGGTCAAAATATCGCAGTACGATTGTACCGTAAAACGTGTCGATTGAGTTTTGAGCTCTAGGTTTCAAATATGAGTTATAAAAGGTCTATAGGACTAGGAAATATGATTTTTGATAAAATTTGATGAAAATAAGTTAGTTTGGGGAAGCGTGCCAACGGCGCGCGCAACAGCTTAAAACAGTGTTTTCTCCGAACGACCGAAAATCTCCGGATTCATCTAATCGAGTATAATTAAAGGACAATGGTTAATGTTAAAAATTAGAGTTTCTAAATAGGTTGTGAATTCACGGACGTTTAGAGAAATTCGGATGAATTTTAAATCGCGTGAGGTGGCGTGGGACCCACCCCACTTAAGTCCACTTATCCACCTAAGCTATTCACTATTCACTATCACCTTCATTTCATTTTCTCTCTCTCAAAAATCGATCAGCCCTCCCTCCTTAGGCACCTTAGGGTTTCAATTTTCTTCCTTGATAAATCCATCAATTCTTAACCAAATCAAGTGATTTTTGTGTTGAAATTTATTGGAAACAACCTTCCAAACACATTGGTGGTATCCATTACCCTTGAAACCCTCTCTTTGGTGAGTTATTGGCCATTTTCAGCTGCGAATTTTTGGAGATAAATTGATGTTCTTGGAGTCATTTGGTCTTCCATTGCTTGGATAAGTCTTGGAGGAGTATCAAGCCTTGATTGTGAGTAGATTCCTATATCATTTCCATGGTTTATTTGTAGATTTTATTTATGAACCCTAAAACTTGAATTGTTGACATGTGATGTTAGAGAGCTCAATTGGAAAAAGTTTGTACATGAATGTGTCTTAGAATAATGTGTATTAGCTATAAATGCAATGAAAATTTTAGGTGAAAAATATGATTTTGTAACTTAGAATATTTTGAGGTGTCATGACTTGAATTTTGAAAAGGTGTTAGGATTTTATTGGTGAGTTGTTGGATGATTATATGTGGATATAATGGTATTGTGTGAGGTGTGGAAGGGTTGAAAATTGAATGAAATCCCTTGGGATTAATTAGGTAACAATTCGGCCCTTTAAGGAAGTTTAAGGAATTGAGGTTGTTTGCATTGCTTGGATGATGTTTCAAGTGTTAAATGATATTTAGATGGGTTGTGTGGTGGTTGGAAAGCAGAAGAATCAATGAAAAATAATAAATGGTGTTAAGGGTCATAAAGGATCCCATAGTGAATTATTAAGCAAAACGATGCTTAAAAGACGTAAAATGAAAAAACGGAACTTGATCTAGCCTTTTGGCAACCTAAGGATGTATAATAAAATGAGAAAGAAAATTTAAAAAAATAAATTTGGAATTAAGCCTTGTTTGGCCGAACCTACCTAGTGGGGGTGTAGAAATTTGATGTTTTTCACGTTTTGATAGAATTGTCGTGTACTGACGATTCGTACATGGAAATTGTAGGTTGTCGTACGTCGATTTGAACCCCGAACCGTGAGTCGGTGGATTGCCCTTGGTCCTGAACCAAGTGGGATTGAGGTAAGTGGTTGAATCATGCTTGTATAGTTGTAAATTGCATGCATTCGTATGAGTTTGAGTAATTGGGAATGTCCTCTGAGTAGGCATTCTGTTGAGTAACAAGTTTGAAACATAAGCTGTTGTGGAGCTAAGTGGAGGAACGTTTTGAGGTAACCTCTTGGTACTGGGGCTTGTTCCCCTTGTGTGTTCCACCATGCCAGTTGATGGTATTGGTAGGAAATGTATATGAGTAATGTAAAACAGCATGAGCATATATGGGTACTTAGGTACCGAGTCTCTGGCCAGTAGACAGCTAGCCTTCGGGCAGTTCGGACTTCCACTGGATAGGTCTCCGAGAGGGAGTTCCAGTTGACCTAGGGTCGTGGTGTGTCATCCAGGTAGGAGCACACTAGGAAGTCTCAGGTTATATGGATGGGAGAGGTACCTTGGTTGTGGTTCTTGGAACACGCCTTGGATGAGACCCGTAGGCTTATATGCCGAGGACGTTGCGTGGTATTGGTAGCTACCATTCTAGCTTCGTCGTATTTTATAGCCCGATATTCTCCAGTTTCTCTAAATCCCTTGCTATATCCCGTTTTGAAAGTGGTTGTTTCATATTATTTATATGCATCAAAGTGAGCCATTGGGCAGAATTTTCTCCAGAACCTCTGGGTTACTGAGATATATCCGTATATTTCACCCCGTCTTGGGGGCTTTATTTCAGGAGGTAGCAGTGGCATTGGAGCGGCGGGCAAGAAGCCCGTAGGATGACTAGTCGGAGCACTATTACTATTTTGCATTTTGTTGGCCATGTGGCCTAGGCTAGACTTAGACTATGAACATCCCATATGTATGTCAGATGAGTTTCATAGTCATATTTGTTCATGTCATTTTGCCTAAGTCTAGTTGCATATGTCATTTGAGTTTTTATATTTCAAGTTGTAAATTAAAGTATGGATTTGTAACTCAGAAAACCCCCTAATTATACAACAATACTGTAACTATCATTACAAGAAAAATAAAAAATAAAAAAACATATAATAATACTAATACAAAATTGAAAAAATCAATTTCTTGGCACCATATATGTACATTTAATCAGAATAAATGCAGAAACAAAAACACCAAGCAAAAATTTTTACTCTAACTCCGTTCAAGCTGGATTTAGATCCCGTGAGGTTTGGCCTTGCCATCTGTAAAACAAACAATTAGATCATTCACAAGCACATTTCATTCCAGATAATGCAAAGGTGTGTGTGATTTAAATAGAAAGATGCTATTTGTTCCACAAGTCCCAAAAGCAAGAACAAAGTGCACAAATAAAAGAATTACTACAAATCACATGTTAAATGATAACTTCCATAAACCTTGAAAGAAGAAATCTTGCAAGTGGGCTTAAATTGCTATTTGAATGAACTTCCTTGTTCTGTTGTTTCTTCCTGTTATCAGGCTCTGCATTTCGGGTTTCTTCAGTTGAATTGGTTTTGCTGAAAATTTGGCCTGCCAGTTCTTGCAGATCCTTCAATGAAGACTCCTTTGAACTGCACAATGTGTTTTAATTTGGGGTTTATAAATTATGATTTTATTAATTTTCCTTTACTGTGCTACATGATGAATATTAGTAGAGTGCATACCTTGCCAACCGCTGAAGCAACTTTTTGACAAAGGCATCACAGGATCTAGGCTTTGTCCTCTCCATGTTTACAAGTGAGTTGATAACAAATTGCACGACCGACCCTTCTGGATCATCAGCAATGGCCTACATAATAAACAGAAATATGCTATGAGAAAATTCATAACAGATCAAATCTATTCTAGCTTTAAGTTGCAACAGCATACAACAGTTTGTAAGCAGCTAAAACATTATCATACTCTGATATCAACTTCCAACAAGGAAACTTAACCTCATTAGCAGGTTTTCTTTCTCTTTTTAGAATGCACTACTTTCTATGAAATTACAAAAAGTCATCAGGTAAGCGATTATAAATTTTATTTTATTTTTCCTGAAAAGTCAAAGGTTTATCATGATCTAGCCTCTTTTCCACATAAATCAATGCCTTAGTTTTTCCAGCATAAAGAATCCAAATAATTCAGAAAAGAATCCAAATAAAAAAAATACTTATATCTATTTACCAAAAAATAAATAAAAAAAATACTTATATCTGAAATAATTCTAATTGGGGAACCTTGCTTACTTTTCAATAACCTTCTGCACATTGCAAGCAATTCTATTTGGCATCACAAACTAATTTAGAACAAAAGCAAGACATAACACAATTAGAATAAAACCTATATGTGGATTTACCTCTTTTAATGAAGGAATAAGCAAAACAGATAACGGCAGAGAGGATGACATTATTTTGGAACTTTCTTCATCATCACTAGCATAATGAGACCTTGAAAGTCCTTTCTGTGAATCAATGTATTCACGAGATGGTCTGAAAAAATATTCCTTGCAAAATTACAATCACAATTTTATTTCAGCAGCAAAAAATTGACCAGCATTATGGCCGTGGATGTACCTGGAAGAATCAGAGCTGCTTGACATTTCATCTCTCCTGCTTTCCTGTACATCATTGTTGAGTTTTCCAAGTGCAAATCTCTCTCGAGCATTCACTTTCTTTAATCCTCCTTGGATAGCTGCCTTTGCCTACAAAGAAAATTATTTATCTCTTTTTTTAAAATACAATAGTGGCACTAAAATTCGAACTTATAACCTCATGCAAGTTGTTAGAATATATTAAATTTGATTAGATATGATTAGTCTGTAATTATTATGATTAGATATGATTAGTCTGTAATTATTATGATTAGTCTGTAATTAATTCTGATTGTATTAGGTCTGGGCCTTTCACTTAAGCCCATTAGAGTCTCTATATATTGTAACCCTCTAAATTAGATTAATACACAACATATTATTTTATATTTAAGTTGGTATCAGAGCTCTTTTGTTCTGAGGACCCTCGTTTTCGCTTAGAAAGCTTGTTTTTGCTTTAAAACCTAAGCCCACTGCTTAGGAGTCCTCTTTCTTTGTCGTGCGTCCTTCCGGCAAGCCATCTAGGGCTGTAAACAGCTTCTGAGTAATTTTCCAAACGCGTCAGCACCGTCGACGGCCACTGGAACCACCGTCCGCCACTAGGACCACTGTTTAGGCCACCGGAGACGTTTTTTCCGGCGACTTTTCAGACCAGACGTCACGCGATCAGGACCGTCTCTTCCCGGCGATCAAGTCTGTGGAGGTCCGGTCACCAACGCATCCCTCACGCGCCGCCCACCTCCTCTGCGCGTGGGCCTCACGCGCCACCTTCTACCGGCGCGTGTGCACTACTCCGGCGGCTTTTTCCGGCCGGTCTTGGACAGAGAAGCCCGCCTTCTCCTCCCCTTTCTGGATCTGTGATTGTTTCTCTGTGGGTCTGACCTTAGACGCGTTGTTCTCCTTGATTGGATATTGTTTGCCTTCGTTTACGGCTTTTATATTTTATCTTTAAATGGCAGCAGCATCTCCTGATCTCTCGGAGGTTAACTCTCCTTCTATTGTTGCAAATATAGCTCAGTCAGACAATGCATCATTTGGTTCAGGTTCGGACTATGCTGCACTCCAAACCCCTCTCAGGAAGGCTTATCCTCAGTCTCAGCCTTATACTGGTAATCCCGTTGCTTGTGTTTCTCTTTCTACATCACTTGGCACTTGGATATTTGACTCCGGTGCTACCAATCATCTCTGTGGTAATAAGGAACTCTTTACATCTCTTACTTATTCTGATCATTTACCGTCTTTTACCCTTGCGGATGGAACCAAAGCCCCAGTTCGTGGGATTGGACAAGCTCGTCCGACCTCTACCTTGGCTCTGACATCTGTCTATTACATTCCTGGCATCCCTTATAACTTAATTTCTATTAGTAAGTTGATCCACTCCCTCACTTGCACCATTACTTTCTCTAACCATTCTATTTCTGTGCAGGATCCGGGTACGGGGAAAATGATTGGAGTGGGTCGTGAGTCACGGGGGCTTTATTATCTGCATGTGCCTCGTCCTTCAGTAGCATGCTCTCTCACAGAATCTCCACAACTTATCCACAGTCACCTTGGTCATCCAAGTCTTTCAAAGTTGCAGAAAATGGTTCCTCTTTTGTCCGGTCTTCAGTCTTTAGATTGTGTGTCATGTCAACAAGGGAAGCATACACGCTCCTCTTTTGCCAGTCGAGTCAATAAACGAGCTGATGCCTCTTTCTCTCTTGTTCATTCAGATATCTGGGGTCCAAGTCGTACCTTGTCTGTCTTAGGTTTTCGGTATTTCGTTACCTTTATTGATGATTTTTCCCGTTGCACTTGGATCTATGCAACGAAAAATCGTTCTGAGTTATTTTCCATTTATAAAAAGTTTTCTACTGAGATCCATACTCAATTTGGTGTTTCTATTCGTATTCTACGTAGTGATAATGCTAAGGAATATGTTTCTATTGATTTTTCTAATTTCTTGGCCACACAAGGTACTTTACATCAAACTACTTGTCCTCACACTCCACAACAAAATGGGGTGGCTGAACGTAAAAACAGACATCTCATTGAAACTGCCCGTACCCATCTTATTCATATGCAGGTTCCCCTTCACTTCTGGGCAGATGTTGTACTCATCTCTTGTTTTCTCATCAATCGCATGCCTTCATCTGTGCTCCACAATGACATTCCTCATAATCTATTGCTTCCAGATGTTCCTCTTTATCCTCTAACTCCACATGTCTTTGGTTGTACTTGTTTTGTTCATGATCTCACTCCTGGTAAGGATAAGTTAACATCCAAAGCCTTTCAGTGTATCTTTCTTGGTTATTCTCGTCTTCAAAAGGGTTATCGTTGTTATTCTCCCGACCTTAAGCGTTACTTAGTTTCCGTTGATGTCACTTTTCTTGATCAACAACCCTTTAATTCTATCCCATCTCAGATGTTACAGGTTGATCATGTACTTCCTGTCCCTTTTCTTGACTTGTCTTTGCCAGCTGCAGGTGCTTCTATTCCAGATGAGCAACCTATTGCTTCTATACCTGAGGACCGTCCACTTCTCACCTATCAGCGTCGCAAAACTGTGCCTCCTGTCGACTCGACTCTTGCTGACTCATCGCCCACTGTTGTTGCTTCTTCCCCTCTGGATCCTTCATCAGAGACTCTTCCCATTGCTCAAAGAAAAGGTACACGTACTACTCGTAACCCTTATCCTCTTTATACCTTTTTGAGTTATGACCGTCTTTCTTCACCTCATTTCACCTTTGTTTCTAGTCTTTCTTCTATTTCTATTCCTAAGACCACAGGTGAAGCACTTTCCCATCCAGGGTGGCGCCAAACAATGCTTGATGAGATGACTGCACTTCATTCCAATGGCACTTGGGACCTTGTTTCTGCTCCTCCAGAGAAGTCTATAGTTGGTTGTCGCTGGATTTTTACTGTGAAAGTTGGACCTGATAGCCATATTGATCGTCTCAAGGCACGTTTAGTTGCCAAGGGTTTTACTCAAATCTTTGGCCTTGATTATAGCGATACATTTTCTCCGGTCGCTAAGATGGCGTCAGTCCGCCTCTTTCTTGCCCTTGCTGCTGTTCGTCACTGGCCACTCCTTCAACTTGACATCAAAAATGCCTTTCTTCATGGTGATTTACAAGAAGAAGTTTACATGGAGCAACCACCTGGTTTTGTTGCTCAGGGGGAGTCTGGAAAGGTGTGTCGTCTTCGGAAATCCTTATATGGTCTCAAGCAGTCTCCTCGAGCATGGTTCAGTCGCTTCAGTTCTGCTGTTCAGGTGTTTGGCTTAATCCGCAGTAAAGTTGACCATTCTGTGTTTTATAGGATTACATCTCCTGATAAGTGTATCTATTTGTTAGTCTATGTTAACGACATCATTCTCACCGGAAGTGATCAAGACGGAATTCGTCAGTTAAAACAGCATTTGTTTAGTACATTTCAAACAAAGGACATTGGGAAGTTGCGTTACTTCTTGGGAATTGAGGTGGCACAATCCAGACAGAGCATTTCTATCTGTCAAAGGAAATATGCCTTGGATATCCTAGAAGAAACTGGTATATTGGGAAGTAAACCAGTTGATACACCTATGGATCCTAATGTCAAGTTATTGCCCGGACAGGGGGAGCCGTTATCTGATCCTGGACGTGATCGGAGGCTAATTGGGAAGCTCAACTATCTTACTGTGACTAGGCCAGATATTTCTTTTGCTATTAGTACGGCTAGTCAGTTTCTTGATTCCCCTTGTGATTCACATTGGGATGCTGTTGTGAGGATCCTCCGATACATCAAAGGAGCACCAGGAAAAGGTTTGTTGTATTCAGATCAGGGAAATACAGAAATTTGTGGTTATTCAGATGCTGATTGGGCAGGATCACCCTCGGACAGGCGCTCTACTTCTGGCTATTGTGTCTTCTTTGGAGGAAACTTAATTTCGTGGAAGAGCAAGAAACAACCTGTTGTTGCTCGATCTAGTGCAGAAGCTGAGTATCGTGCAATGGCAAATGCTACCTGTGAGTTAGTCTGGTTAAAGCAGTTGATTCAGGAGCTTCATCTTTGTGAACAGAAACAACCCATGACACTCATCTGTGATAATCAAGCTGCGCTACATATATCCTTTAATCCTGTCTTTCATGAGAGGACCAAACATATAGAGATTGATTGTCACTTCATTCGAGAAAAGATTAAGTAAGGAGAAATCAAGACTGTTTTCGTCAACTCCTCTGATCAACTAGCGGATGTCTTCACTAAAGCTCTTAGAGGTCCTCGGGTTCAATATATTTGTAACAAGCTTGGTGCTCACAATATATACGCACCAGCTTGAGGGGGAGTGTTAGAATATATTAAATATGATTAGATATGATTAGTCTGTAATTATTATGATTAGATATGATTAGTCTGTAATTAATTCTGATTGTATTAGGTTTGTATTAGGTCTGGGCCTTTCACTTAAGCCCATTAGAGTCTCTATATATTGTAACCCTCTAAATTAGATCAATACACAACATATTATTTTATATTCAAGTCAAGTTACCAAAGCCCCTCACCTCTAGCCCACACACACTGGCTTACGAAAATTATTTTAAGGATAAGCGATTTCAATATGATCAAGTAATAAAATTACTTCTAAGTAATCACAAACTTGTCAAATATCCAACAGTAAAAATATAAATCAAACCATAAAAGAACAAAAAATAATTCGACAATTGTGCTTAAAAAAAGGTTTAAGAAACAAATAGACCTTAAAAGTACTTAAAATACATGGGTAACATTGGAAACATGTAACATGGGAAAATAAATTATTAGAATGTTGACTGTTTCCAAAGATAAAAAACATCACTGAACTAAACCTACAAACAGCAAAGAGGGGGAAAAAAAAAGCCTCGCCATGCCCCCAATTAATTAGCAAACATAGTAAATTCTCAGCTTAGATAAAAGAAAAAAAAAAATAGAACCTCAGCAAGATTTGTAGCACTATCTTCCAGTGAGGCATTTGAATTTCTGCTATTAAGTCCCAGTCGGGACCTTGGTGTCTGTGGAGAATCAGAATCATCATGCTGACTACGCAAAACAACAGTTCCACTGGTAGAAGAATCTTCAAAAGAAGCATAGCTGCTGCTAGACTACATGACAATAAGATTCCAAGTGACTACACAGAAATAATTATAACTAACCAGTTTTGAATCAAAGAAACTCAGCTTGAAAAATACCAGAGAACTTTGGTCACGAAACAGTGATGGCTGTGATCCTTTGAGAGGCCTAACAACAACAGTTCCTGATCCATTCCCAGACAATTCATCCTGAAAATTGACAAGTTCAGTAGATCAAAGCATGTTCATGTTTAAAATGAAGTTTCACCAAGTTCATTGAGTTCTCATCATACTTCATGATTGATGATGCAATTTTTTCACACATTATTTGACTAGCTGAACTCTTTAAATGATTATACTGCTGCAGACATTTTAATTGTTGTTTATATGTCTGCTAAATGGGCAGCAAGATGGAGAAAGAACATTTTATTAGCTTCAACTCAAAGTATCTAAAAACTCATCTGGTTTTCCCTCACACTTAAGCATTAATCATAGATCCAATGTTTTAGAAACTACCAACAATGCCTTAACATTTCCCATATGGAGATATATCTGTTCAATAAATCATTTAATTGAAGTTAACTTCTTTGACAAAGATAGATACACATAGCAAGAGTCAATTACATCTTCAAGGTGATTATCTGGATTCTCATCATGGTAGGAAACTCCGAGATCTTTTCTAAAAGAAGTTTCTAGCGACTCATTAAGGGCACTTCTAATGGCAGATCCCTCTTGATAGCCACTATCTGAAGTTTTCCTTTGGTTAAGCTGATGATTTGAAACTTCAGCTTTCTTATCTCTAAACTGAGGTGGTCGTGAAACACTACGAAAGGTTCCAGTACCCTGTGATCCCCCAATGCTGAAGTCCCACCCAGAACTTTTCAGGGTTTTACCCTGACCACTGTAAATCACAATATGTCCATCAGTAAAATCGATATGTAAAATAAAAAGCAGTAACCCAACACTTATAACCTACCTGGGCTGATTAGTTTCTTCACTTCTTAAATCTCTTGCCACCTTGATAGTATCAGATGCCTCCCCTATTCCACCCGGGCCATTTCTAGGTTCCACCGGATCTTCCTTTATTTGATACTTTGGTCGCTCCCTGTCATGAAAACAGAAAGCATGGAATCAACCACAAAATGGGGATATTTTTTTTTAATTTTCTGGTCATGGAAAACATGTTATCAAAGCATAGGCAAAAGGGTTTCAATATTTACTTCAAAACGTCTTTTGAGTTCAAATATATTAACTTACCTAGAAAGGAGGAAAAGAGACTTAACAGCCAAAAGAAAAATAAGTAGAATTAAGTGTGCAAAATATAGCAAGGTTATAAGCAATAATTTGCACCTTATTCTCTCTAAAAGCTTTGGATTCTTCCTAGCACTCCGAATGAAACGGTGTTTGAGAAGTTCCTTAGCACTTGGCCTCTGGAATTTAAGCCATTACAAGGTAAAAAAGTTAGGGAAGAGACCAACAAAAAGAGCCAACTTCATCGGTTCTAATACAAGTTTAGTATAAATCGATCAGGGAAAATTAAGCAATACATTGCATATTATTAATTTAGGATACAAACTTAACATATACAAATTCCGATATTTATTATATTTACTTTTTCTCCCAAAATCAGATGTCCTACACAAGCATATCAAGTATGATAAAACAAAAAATCTGTTTTCTGGCTGTTCTACAATTCATAAAGTGAACATTTCATTCAAACTAAAGCCTAAAACAGGACCTGTTCATTTTAACAAAAAGAGAAAGAAAGAAAATGAAACAAGAGTGAGTGTGTCTAAAGCATAGACACTTGCCTCGGCAGGAACCTTCTTCAAACACAATGAAACAAATTCTTTCATGGGACGAGAAAAATGCTCATCTAGCTGCACAGAACATCATTAAATGTCAATTCTTTTCAACTGGGAAAAATAAAATCTCCATCTAGAAAACTTTATGTACTCAAAATGTTTTGAAAGATCAATTAATTTGATATTAAAAAACGCAGAACCTGCGGCGGATTCTCTCGGGGTATGATGAAAAGCACTCTCATAGGATGAAGATCAGCAAGTGGTGGCTCCCCTTTTGCCATTTCAATTGCAGTAATACCCAGAGACCAGATATCTGCCTGCACAAACAAAATACGGAGTGATGGTTATTATGAGATAAAGACAAAAACAATAAAGGAACACAGAATGGAAAGAAATATGATAGGGTGGAATCCAAGATAACATTATACAAATTTTTAGAGTTACTATAAGATAACCTTCTCATTATATCCTTCTGTGTTTTGAATAACCTCAGGTGCCATCCAGAATGGTGTTCCTACAAATGTCTGTTGTTATCAAACAATTAGCATATCCAGTCAAATATGAAATATACTAATTAATAATACCCTTAATTAAGTATATTTACCTTTCTCCTTGATATAGTCCTAGTTAACTGTGCAGAAACACCAAAATCTGCAACCTGTGACAAATACAAAATCACATAAAAATTCATACGCAAATGTATGTTAGTTCACATGTAAAGTTATTTATGTATCATTTTTCAAGTAAGTCATCTTTTTTAAAAATGGAAATTATAGTCTCTCTGAGAATAAGAGATATACCTTTACATCACCAGTCTCAGTCAATAAAATGTTTGCAGCTGCAAAATTGATATGCAAATTCTGAGAATTATAAAGCTCATTAAAAAAAATTGAAGTCCATGATTATAAAATTTCTAAATGGAAGTGGGAAAGCAGCTTTAAACCACGTAAAAACAAAAGGAGAGGGTGTTGTTGATGATACCTTTAATGTCTCTATGAATTTTTCCTTCATTATGTAGGTAATCAATTGCATGAAGCAAGTCACGTAGAACGCACGCAATTGACATTTCATCAAGTGGAGGACCTGATTGGAGCTACAAAAGCAAAACCACCATATAGCCATATTGGAAATTACCAAGAACAAATATACAAACAAAAAAAAAAAAAAAAAAATTGTTGAGATTATACTGTTTAGGTAGAGAAAAGGAAAAAAAGAGAAATAAAGACTTTCAGGGGGCGTTTGATAGAGGAGAAATTTTTTTCATCCAGGAATCCTGATTTCTAGGAATATGCTAGGAAAATGAGTTTACCGGAAATGTTACAAAAAGTTGTTTGGTTGGTCAAAATATTCCCAGGAATATTGGGTTGATTTTCACACAACATTTTCCCACCCACCAAAATTCTTGAAATACCACATCTTGGATGGCATTCTATGGGATTGTTATGTGTTATTTAAAATCTTGGGAATAAAATTTTCCCAAAATAATTTTAGATTTCTTTGTACCAAACATGGCAATATCAGATTGCCACTATCACTTTCCTAGGAAAAAAATATGTCCACGTACCAAACAGCATCTCAATAATATTCAAATATTGATGTTGTACGTAATAATGTGATACAAAATACTGACCCAATGATCTTATTTATAGTAATTATTTCAAGTACTAGTGTTGTATTACTAGTACAAGCCCAAGCCCACTAATACGGTAAGACTACCAACCCTAATTGAATAAGGAAATAAATTAGGAAATGTAATGAATAGGATATAACTCGTAAAACCGTTTCCTCAATTAGATGACTAATTGATTCCATAATATAGTTTGACTCTAATATATTACAAATATATTCTGGGTATAGGCTAAAACATTCTAAAATAATCTAAATATTCTAACACTTCCCCTCAATCTAAAACTTACTAAGTTTTAAGCTTGATGCAAATGAGAACTTTAAAAAGGAAATAACATAAATATAAAGTGGGCTCCATAAAACACAGCTAGAAAAACAAATCTAAGGATGTTGGAGATGTTGTAGAGATTAGCATTGTTGGAATTTGGAAAGATAACTCAGCTGAACAGCTAGAATGATCATTAGCCTGAAGGGATATCGGAATATTACATAACCAAGGAAGAACACAATTTGCTTGAAAGATGCTGAGCGAAAATTTCCTAGCAAGCAAAATACACATCAAAAACTTAAACTTCTCCAAGTTTCAGTATTTGAAGGCTTCAAACCGCAAGAATAATTATGAGACCCAATAAAAACTGATATATTAAATCTGGGGCTGGTGTAAGTCATAGTTAACATAAGTCATCATCAGAATTATGGTTCAAGGGAAGAGAAGTTACCACAGTGTAGCAAAGCCATTACCAGAATAATCGTTGGTAGTAGCACTAGCATTGAAGTATAAGTTGGGTTTTGGTCATTATTCTCACTCTCCCTCTCAATGGTATGCCAACATTGGAAAAACAACAATGATACCATGCAAGGGAAGAGCATCAGCAAAGATAAAGATTATAAGAGTGTAGGAAGGAAAGACAGAAAAAGGTCACCATAAAGTGAAACAAAACAAAACAACAGCAAGTATGAAGGGGAAGAAAACTAAAGTTAATCATAGGAGAAACTAGAAAGACATCATTTATATAAGAGTTTGGTAAGAACGAGAAGAGAGAGAAGAGATCAGAGAGGAAGCCATTGAACTCGCTGTATATTCTGATAAAGAAACTAATACATGAGAGCTCTATTTATAGAGAAATGTAAGGACTCAGATCTGAGTCAACAAATAACTAACACCCAAACAAACTAACATAATACAAAACAGAAAGACTAGTAGCTATCTGTACAAACAGAAGTACAGTAATATTAGCAAAGCTAAAACTAAAGCTAAGTGAGCTATATCACTAATACCCTCCTGCAAACTCAAGGAGACTTGGATATGAAGAGTGAGCAATCCAAGACCTTGAGTTTGGATCTAAATCAGCAAACCGAGCAGGTGACAGAGCCTTGGTGAGGGTGTAAGCCACTTGATCAGAAGATGGAATATGAGACACCACCAATAGTCGGGGCAAACATAGTATCTTTCACCGACTTGTTCTGTGTTAAAGCAACATTCACTTTGGCTGGGTCACTCAACAGTGATTCATTTTGCTTCAACAATAATTGTTCATAGGCCATTAACTCAATTGCTATGTCATCAAAGCCATATGCCTTTTCACGTCCATGAACGCTCAAAACAAATGAATTGTAAATATTACGTTCACGCCTCACGGATAGAATTCTCTGTTGATAACATGTTCACGGACAAAGAAAATATCAAGCTCCATATGTTTGGTTGGGCATGAAGAACTGGATTCTGAGTTAGAGCCAATATGCTCATATTATCACAAAGAACTTGAGGAGTAGACAAAGGGATATGAAGTTCCCTAAGTAAAGATTGAATCCACAAGATTTCAGCAAAGGTAGAGGCCAAACTGTGATACTCAGCTCCTGCACTAGAACGGGCGAATAAAATGTGCTTCTTGGACTACCAAGAGACAAGGTTTGGACCAAGAAAGATGCTAGCACCAAATGTTGACCGCGTATCATAAGGATCGGAAGCCCAATCAGCATCACAATAAACAATGAGAGATAAAGGAGCAATGGGACATGCTGCCTTGAGTTGTAAGCGAAATGAAATAGTGCCTTTCAAGTAGCGCAATATTCTTATAACAATAACCCAATGTTCTCCAACGGTTGAGTCATAAATTGGCAAACTTTATTTACAGCATAACTAATATCAGGTCAATTAATAGTGGCATATTGATGAGCCCCAACAATATGTAGTGATGTGGATCAGGGTAACAATGAGATCCAAACTGAGAGAGAATGCAGCTACTAGGCATAGGAGAAGTGATTCCCTTGGCTTCTTGTGTAGAAGCTCTAGTGAGCAAATCCCGAATGTACTTTGTCTGGGACAACATCAATGTATTGGAATAATTCCTTTTAACCTCAACACCAAGGAAGTAATCCAGATCACCCAAATCCTTCAAGGCAAAATGAGAATTGAGTTGTGAGACAAGAAGAGTAATGAAGGAAGAATCATTCCTGGTTACTATAATATCATCGACATAGACAAGTACATAGATGCATCAAGTGGAAGTTTGAATAAACAAGGAAGGATTACAGCAACTGGCCTTGAAGCCGAAGGAGAAAAGAGAATTCTTCAACTTGTCAAACCAGGCTCTTGGGGCCTGTTTCAGCCCATAAAGAGCCTTGTTGAGCTTACAAACAAGTTTCTTATTAGAATCTTCAAAAGAGAATTCTTCAACTTGTCAAACAAGCTCTTGGGACCATGTACACCTCCTTTTCAAGATCTCTATTTGAGAAGCCATTATTAACATCCAATTGCCTAAGAGTCCAGCCATAAGGGAATGCCAAAGTGAGCATAATCCAAATGGTAACTGGTCGAACAACAGGCTGAATGTAATCAAACCCAGGTTGTTGGTGAAAACCTTTGGCAACCAGCCTTGCTTTGTACTTGTTTATTAAGCCATCAGGATTCTCCTTAAGCTTGAACATCAATTTGCACCCTATGGCAAACCTGTTAGAAGGAAGAGGAACAAGAGTCCAAGTATGGTTAGCCAATAAAGCATTATATTCAACCTTCATAGCCTCATGCCATGGTGGACTGGACAATGCCTGCTTGACTAAAGTGGGCTCAATGTGAGTGAGAAGAGATTGAGCTCTAGCTAGAGTTTTAGAACTTGTTTGAATAGAGTGAGCAGGTGAGTTAGGATTAAGAGAGGATGAAGGAAAAAATTCAGATGAGGAAGACTCAAGAAAGACAGGTGATGAGGATGCAATAGAATAATCCAACTGTGAAGGAGCTAGAGAGTCTCGGTCTTGGGCTGAACTTGTATGACTAAGTGTAGATAAAGACTCAAAATCTGATACGGGAGAGTTATTAGACTGAACAAGAGTATATGGTGAGGTATCCCATGGATTGTGACTTGTACATAACATAGGGGATGACTGTTCTGAGGGTGAATTTGATGTATCAGCACTTTGTGTGACATGTGATAAACTATTGGGTGGTGACATGTCTTGAATAAAGAGAGGAATAAAATGAGAGACAGCTGAAACATATATTCATTGAAAATCACATATTTTGAAACAAAGGTCCTGCCATCCTTAATTTGACAAATATATCCTTTATGACTAGAGGAATATCTAAGAAAAACATACTCTTGGGATCTGTGTTCAAGTTTGTGCTTATTATAAGGTCTTAGAAATGGAAAACAAGCACAACCAAACACTTAAAGAAATTTGTAGTCAGGTTCAGTTTTGTAAAGTTTGGTGTAGGGAACCTCAAAGTTTAACGAGGCAATGGGTAAACGGCTAATAAGAAAGGTTGCTGATTTAAAGGCATAATCCCAAAATTTCATAGGAAGAGATGCATAAGAAAGAAGGGTCAAACCAGTCTCAACAATATGTCTATGTTTTCTTCTACAACTCAATTTTGATGATGTGGATGAGGGCATGTTATTCTGTGCAATATGCCATGAAGTTTTAGGTATTGGGTAAATGACCGAAACTCCCCACCCCAATCAATTTGGATGGCTTTAATTGGAGCTTGAAAATGTTTAGTAACCATTGAATGAAACTGTTTGAACATGACAATAGCATCTGATTTTTGTTGAATAGGATACAGCCAAGTATACTTTGTATTTGCATGCACAAAGGATATATAATATGAATTTCCAAGAGTAGACTTGAAGGGGGCTGGTCCCCAAAGATCACTATAAATCAACTCAAAAAGGAAATTATAGACAGATTGTGAAGAAGGTGAATGAAGTCTATGAGCTTTTCCCAGACAGCAAGAGAAACAAAAGTCCAACTCATTTTTATTATCAAAAGGAATTTTACAAGCATTGAGTACATTCTTTAAGGCTACATGATGTGGATGTCCTAGACGACAATGCCGCAAGGAAAAAGCTATATTAGAAATAACACTAGGCTGAGTACAAGTATGAAGCTGTGGATTATTACAACTAGAAACTAATGAGACAGGAGATACATTTGAAACTGAAGAAGTCTTGACAAGAGTGGAGGCTTGAG